AAACTCTCAGGATGCAAAATCAATGTGCAAAAATCAAAAGCATTCCTATGCAACAATAATAGACAAACAGAGAGCCAAATCATGAGTGAACTCCCATTCACAATTGCTACAAGGAGAATAAAATACATAAGCAAACAACTAACAAGGGATGTGAAGGACCTCTTCAAGGAGAACTACAAACTACTGATCAAGGAAATAAGAGAGGACACAAACAAATGAAAAACATTCCATGCTCATGGATAGGAAGAATCAATATTGTAAAAATGGCTATACTGCTCAAAGTAATTTTTAAATTCAATGCTATGCCCAAGAAATTACCATTGATTTTCTTCACAGAATTAGAAAAATCTACCTTAAATTTCATATGAAACCAATAAAGAGCCCATATATCCAAGACAATTCTAAGCAAGAAGGACAAAGCTGGAGGCATCAAGCTGTCTGACTTCGAACTGTACTACAAGGCTACAGTAACAAAAACAGCATGACACTTTTTACGACAACAGATATATAGACCAATGGAACAGAACAGAGACTTCAGAAATAATATCACACATCTAAAACCATTTGATCTTTGAAAAACCTGACAAAAACAAGCAATGGGGAAATGATTCCCTATTTAATAAATGGTGTTGGGAAAACTGAATAGTCATATTTATATAAAACTGAAACTGGACCCCTTCCTTACACCCTATACAAAAATTAACTTAAGATGGAATAAAGACTTAAATGTAAGTTCTGAAACTATAAAAATCCTACAAGAAAACCTAGGCAATATCTCTCAGGACATAGGCATGGGCAAAGACTAATTTTTTTAGGATTCATGGACCAATATCTTATTGGATAAAAATGTGAACATTTTTATATTATTCTTTTCACAGGATTTTATTACGTTCTCTTAATAAATACAGACTAGCCCTGCCAATTGAATTACTTTATCAGACTATCTGCCCTTTCAATATTAGATAAAAGGCTAAAGGTTACAAAATTATAGCCACCTAGAAGAAATAAGATCTAATGTTCTATAGGACTGTAGGTTGACTAGGCTTAAAAACAATGTTATATAATTTCAAATTCCTAAAAGAAAGATATAGACTATCCCCAACACAAAGAAGTGATAAATCTTTGAAATAATGGATATGCTAATTATCTGATCAGTCTACATTGTACGTATCCAAACATCTCTATGTACCCTATAAATATGTGTCAATTAAAAAAATTGTGAAGCCATGTGGTGATCGATTTTCACTATCTTATAATATCTTCTGTTGATAATATCTTCTGGTGATAATATCTTCTGTTGAAAATTATGTATTCAAAATTTCCACCTCTTCTGAAGTCAATTTTCAAATGTGTGCTTTATTAGAGAAGTGTACATTTTCTGTTTTCAAATACATTAATCACATGTTCCTCATTTTTCAGTCCTAATCTTGCATAATTTCAGTCTTTCTGAATTCTCTTATTTTTTTCTGATCAGACATTAAATAGTATAGTTGTTTTATAATTATTTGAAAGGGCCAGATTTGCATTATTAATTCTCCCTGTTACAGCTAATTTTTACTTTCCTTATTTTCACTTTCTATCTTTTTTTACTGTTCCCTGTCATTTGTTTTGAATTATTTTATTGTCATTTTTCTTGTATCAGAGAATACTATTTTTTATATTTTTAAATGATAAATGAATTTTTAAGAGAACACATTTTTCTCTAACTGCAATTTTTATTTCTGCTACATTTGTTACAAAATAGCTTATCTGTATTTATTATCCCTTTTAATTTTTACTTTGATCAAAAAGTTCTTTAATAAGGACTACTTTTTAATTTCCAAAATGAGTATATTGTTGGTAATATTTTAACAATATATTTTCCAATTTTATATTTTATTAATAGACAACCTTAGATTGTCAAGTTTTTAAGAAATGTCTTAAAGTATCTTTTTTGTGAGTTCTTACATGATCAATTCTCATAATTATTCTGTGCCCATATGAAACATAATAATTATTATACAATGGAGGTAACTGAGTCTGTGTATATATAATTAGATTATCTATATTTACATAATTTTATTTTTACAATACTTGTCAAATCAGAAGGGATTACATTGATTGCTTATGCTCTAATTGTATTTTATGTAGTTACTATTTGTATTTCTCATAATACTTTTTCCATGTATTTAGCTGCTAATTTGTTTGGTAAACATAGAATTACAGCATATATTCTTAATAAATAGTTCATTTTTCATTATTCAATGTTCCACTGAAACCTATTATGTTTTGTTTGTTTTCCAATTTGTGTAATATTAGTCTAAGAAGCTCTGATTATTTTTTAATTCGTATCTGCTTGGAAGTTTGAGATTTTAAGTTTACAAGGGAGGCAATATCAACCTAAGATTTTACGCTTAGTGGCACACTATTAACCTAAAGTCTGTGCCCAAAGAAAACTGTCCTGAACTCACTAAATTGAAATAACCAATATTGGAACAAGATCTCTATTCAAGATCTCTATAGTTTCCATTTTTTAGCAACCATTGTTTTTACAATGCATGGTGGAACTGAATTATTTAACTCACACATGGTTTGGTAGAGAAAATCAAAACAGGGGAAGACATTGGAAAATCCTGTCCCTCATTATGGGATTAAATATACAGGTGAATTGTCATCAATCCAAATTAAAACACGTTAAGGAGTATTATCACAAGGAGTTTGGTGAAGATTAGCTTGGATATCTATAATAATCCAAATCAGGGAAGATTTGCTTTAGCCAGTGTGAAAAGTGGAGTTAAATGTCATTATGTTGGCTTTATGTCTTCAGCACAAGATGCTAGTCAACAGCAAAAGACATAGGTGGAGAACCATATCCCCTCTAGCGAGTGTTTCTGCTTAAGTTTTCAGAGCTTCAGATATATTTAAATCTTAATCATCACATGAGTTACACATTTTTTATTATCTTGTATTTTCACGTTAGGAAAGAAATAAAAAAGGCTATACCTAATTGAGCACATAAATGTGCAGATCTTGTGCTCCATATTTCAGAGAGCAGAATCAGAATGGCCAAACTAAATCCAGTCCTCAGTGATTAGTTAGAATTAGTCACATAATGGATTCTATTGCTCAATATTGACACAGAATCTGACTTGAAAAACTAAAACATTAATACCTAACATGTGTAGTTGAAAAGATAGGTGACGATCTAAGGTGAACTCTTATAAAATGTCTATTACAGTTTGGATGAGTTTCCAGAAGGGAATTTAGTTATGCTGTACTCAATTGCCTAAACCAGCTAACTTCTTCAGTATGCATCTGAATCCACAATTGACATGAGTTGGGAAATACGGGAGTAGGCAATAACTGATAATGACCTAAGAGGACTAGAGTAAGGTTCTTCTTATTTTAAAGTAAGATAGCTTCAGAATGCAGCAAGTAAGGAAACCTAAGAAATTAGCCATGGGTCAGAGCCTTTGAATCACAATCTAGTAACTGAATAAGACATCCTAACTGAAGGACCCAGAGCAGTTGTCTGGAGCTGAAGAGATCAAAAGGGCAGCAAGTAGATGTCCACAAAACAAAACGCATGCCTTCAGCAGGAATCATGTACCCAACAGTAAATGATTAATCTTCAGAAACTTGGAGGGAATTAATTTTAGAAGGCCAAACCTGTGAGATGGCTGGTGAATTGGGCCCTATGTCAAGGACATATTTTGTATTTATTTGTAAAAATAAGAATTTTACTCCAACCATGTTTTTTTATTTTGTTGTTTGTTTGTTTTTTTGTTTGTTTTTTAATAAGGATGAGGTTCCTGAAAAGAAGAAAATTCCAGTTTTCTTTTCTGATGAGAGCAAATTTATTGGAGAATAGAAATTAAATGACTTAGTCCCATGATAAGATAGTTTCTTGAGAAAGGCAGAATATTTGAGGGAATTTTCTATTGCATGTATAATCTGCCCTATCCTGTACCAGGTTAGTACAGTTTTACTTTGTTCTCTATAATTACCTCATCACTCCAGCAACACTATCCCACCTGCACCTGCCAATGAGTTCTCATGGGCCTCTATACAGAGCACAAAAGGCAGTCATATTATTTCATCTCAGGCCAGGGAATGGGCAGCCTAAGCAAGAAGAAAAACACACAGAGTAGCCTTATTCTATTTCTGAAAATGTTCTTGCTTGCTACCCAAAGCAGAGTTTTCATGATTCCTATAAATAGCAGTGATTTAACTTGCTGGCATGCCTATCACTGTAGCCTGACTCCGTAGTTCCTGTCCAACTTTATCCCTCCTTACTGATAATTATTATTATAAATTATTAGTATTATTGGTATCCTCACTAGGCAGTTCCATCTTTTCTTCTTCTTTTTGGTTATTGAATCATCACTGGTCAGATTCTTGGCTTTGTGTTTTACTTACATAATATTCATTCATTCATTAAATGTACTTATGGGCTTTTGTGTGACATGACTCATGCAACATATTTTAAAAATGCAAATGTTAATTGGAAATAAAACTACATGATGTGAAACAAAAATATTTAATGTTAGATCAAAATATATAGATAGAATCAATAGCAGCTTGTCATTACTTCACTACTCAATAGTAGTAGTGAAGTAGAATAGAACCAAGGAAATACCTATAAAAATAAATAAAATTATTGGAAACTATAATGATTGATAGGATTTGGAGATGCAAGAATGAAATATAGAAATAATTTTGCTAGTAGAATAGTTAGAAGGAAATATTGCAGATTCTATGGAAAAAGAAGTTAGTGGCTCACTTCTTCCACAGGGAAATAATGTTGGAAGGATTTTTAAAGGCTTAGCTAAGACAGAAGTCTTTCAGGCCAATAAGCACTATTTGTTTGTATAAGTTTCATACATATTTCTTGTACTGAAAGCAGGTTTCATAATAGTGACTGAGCATCCAATATACTCCAGGGATTCTGATATACTGAAATCTGCAGTGAAGATCAGACAGCTACTGGGTTTTGTTTTGTTTTACTTGCTCAGTTTCTTAATACAGAGCAAGTATTAAGAATATTGATTGAAATGTTTATATCTATCTTTATTGTTAGCTGTTTAAATTATTTTTCTTCACCAATAAAATACATAAATGAGACTAAAGAGTAGAAAGATATTGTTTTTTATTTTTTTAAAGAAGATAGTAATGGCATCTTTAGGAATAACATATTTCAAACAGAAATAGTTAATGAGAAATAAAATATGTTTTGCACATGTCATATTTAGAAGTCACCTACCAGCTTCTAAGAATGTCAGATAGTTCTTCATGTTTGAAATACTTACCAATTTTATAGCCACAGCTGGAAAAAAAACTTCATATATATCACTTGCATGTGCTAATATCACTGTCTAATAATTCTACATGACACTTATAAAAAGCCACTTGCATCTGGCAATGATGCACAGGTCTCATGACAGTCAGCAACATTCTGGATTCATTTATGACAGCTTGCCATGGAAGTTGGAAATATATTTAATAAAAAGTCCATGATAAAAACTGAAAAGAAAAAGATAAAATGAAAGTAAAATGTAGAAAATCACACATCTAGCAAGATAAATAACTGCCATATCAAATAAACTGGCAGAGCAAATAAAATGGGCAATTTAAAGTCCACTGTCAACAGAAAGAAAAATCACGCACATATGTACTTTTCAGCAATAGTTTTTTTTTTTTTTTTAAACTAAGAATTGCTAAGAGTGTTTCTGAGAAGAGTCTATTCTGACATTGCTAAATTGCTGTAGAATATCAATGGGATTATAAAAATTGATTTTTGCTTATTATTTAAAAAATTGCATTTCTTATTATTTTTAAGACATCAAGAATATTGGAAGAAGAGGAGGAACTCATTTTCTGTGGCTTCATATTTCCTTGTGATTAGACCCATGACAGTCACTTCCCCCTATCCTTCTCACTCTGCTCCTCCCCATGGCAGGAGACAAGAGTCATCAGTTTGGTGAGCTGAGAAGAGAAATTGGGCTTTGTTGCTCAGCAACTAACTTTCTCCAATTTTTTGCATCCTGCTGCTCCGGAGGCGAGGTATCCTCCAACTTAACATAGACAAAAACAGGTTCGATTCAGGCAGTGTTAACATTCACTTTGATGAGATTTAAGTCACAGTTTTCAGTAGGGCCTTAATGATTACCACAGGTAAAACTGTTATGTCAAAATACCTGCCTTCTGCCTCTTGAATTTCTCTCAGTCATTTCTCAACATGAGTAGAGTAGAAGGAAAATTATGTATTGATGCTTTCAATTCAAAGAGAATGCACTGAAGCATGACTAGTTGTCCTTATATCACTATGTATTTGGATTGCTACACAAAGAAGGAAAACAAATCAATGTTAAGGCCCCTTTGTACTCCCCAAAATGAAACTACTGTGCTGCGAACGCAAAGAGGACAAATGTGACTGAGTTCTTCAAATATTTTTAAACTAATGTGTTTAGTTTACATACCCCCTAAATAAAGCCACACATCAACAACCATCTGAAATTTGACAAACCTGAAAAAAAACAATAAAGAAAGGATTACCTATTTAATAAATGATGTTGGAAAAACTGGCTAGCCATATGCAGAAAACTGAAACTGGACTCCTTCCTTACACGTTATACAAAACTTAACTCAAGACAGATTAAAGACTTAAACATAAGACCTAACACCATAAAAAACCCTAGAAGAAAACCTAGGCAATACCTTACAGGACATAGGCATGGGCAAAGACTTTAATGACTAAAACACCAAAAGCAATGACAACAAAAGCAAGATAGAAAAATGGGATCTAATTAAACTAAAGAGCTTCTGCACAGCAAAAAAAACTGTCATCAGAGTGAACAGAAAACCTACAGAATGGGAGAAAATTATTGCAATCTATCCATCTGACAAAGGGCTAATGTCTAGAATTGACAAAGAACTTAAACAAATTTACAAGAAAAAAACAAACTACTCAATCAAAAAGTGGGTAGAGGATATGAACGGACACTTCACAAAAGAAAACATTTATGTGGCTAGCAAACATAAGAAAAAAAGCTCATCATCACTGATCATTAGAGAAATGCAAATCAAAACCACGATGAAATACCATCTCATCTCACTTAGAATGGCCATCATTAATAAGTCAGGAAACAATAGATGCTGGGGAGGATGTGGAGAAATAGGAATGCTTTTACACTGTTGGTGGGAGTAGAAATTAGTTCAACCATTGTGGAAGACAGTGTAGCAATTCCTCAAGTATCTACAACCAGAAATACCATTTGACCCAGGAATCCCATTACTGAGTATATACCATAAGGATTATAAATCATTCCACTATAAAGACCCATGCACGTGTATGTTTATTGTGGCATTGTTCACAATAGCAAAGACTTGGAAGCAACCCAAATGTCCATCAATGATAGACTGGATAAAGCAAATGTGGCACATATACACCATGGAATACTATGCAGCCATATAAAAGGATGAGTTCATATCCTTTGCAGGGACGTGGATGTAGCTGGAAACCATCATTCACAGCAAACTAACACAAGAACAGAAAACCAAACACCACATATTCTCACTCGTAAGTGGGAGTTGAATAATGGGAACACATGGCAGATGGAGGGGAACATCACACACCAGGTCTGTCGGGGTTGGGGTGCTAGGGTAGGGATAGCATTAAGAGAAATATCTAATAGATGACAGGTTGATGGGTCAGCAAACCACCATGGCACATGTATACCTATGTAACAAACCTGCACATTCTGCACATGTATCCCAGAACCTAGACTACAATAATATTAAAATACATAAATAATACCATATGTTGACATATGCCTTTTCTGTATTGTAGTATGATAAGGCAAATCCTATCTTTGTCAATCTCTCTTTTAAAGTCATCAACTGTATCCCTCACATTTCCCCTGACTGCTCTTGGGTCTTGTGTGAGGGCAACAGTTTCACAGTAAAAAATTAAGAGAAAAGAAAGCAAGGTGAGGTAGCATAAATAGAAGGAACATTTATTATTTTGTAGCTTTACCTGGATAAATTGCAATTCTACTTTGCTGTCATCAGACCAATCCCAGTACAGTCTGAAACTGAGGGAGAGTTAAGGAAAAAGGGGAGGGATAGAGTCAGTTATAATATGTTTACAAATCGCTAAGAATTCTCATTCTCCTGACTCATGTTATTCATGCCGTATGACCACATAAGAGTTCTTTTAGTGTTTATCTGAATGAAGTTCTGATGGTTTTATTATTCTAAAATTGTACTTTCATGAATATACTCCTTCAGGGAGCATAAAAGAAAGAAATGCTTAATGAAACTTATTGTTTATATTTGCTTTTGTTTGCTTACTTAATTTTACAAAAAAAAATACCTACCATCTGAATATAGATGTTTAATATAATCACAGTACTGTTCTTTTACTTTTGATCACATTTATTGAGTTAACATTTTAGAAATATGGTTATCAGAAATTTATGTTTGCCAGGGCTGGACAATAAGTACTATATCACATCATTTTCCCTGTATATTTTATCTTTAAAAATAAAGGCTGTGATCTCAAATTCTAATATTTCATTTCACTGATGGTTCAAAAGATGCTTTACATCAAATGAAACTTCTGCTTTGCAGTTGGGTCTTATTTTACATTAAAAAATTGTATGTTTATACATAACTGCATTCGTGCAGTTATACATGTAAACTAATTGGTACATCAACAAAAAAGACCTCTGAAAACTCCCTCCTCCACAAAGAAACAAAAAGAACTGCAAAAAATCATTAGAACCATTTTTTCCAAACTCTAAAAATTAACCAAATGCTTCCAGCAACACATTGCAAGTTATATCTTTTTTAAATAAAAGAGCTAAATCTAAACAACAAGCTTTATGGTAATTTAGCTAGCCTAAGTCTTAGTCTTATTTTCAACTTCCTAGCTCAGTGGTAGCCTTAAACATAACAATTTGAGGGAAACAGAATGAAGCTCAAGTTTTATTGAAGTCTCATTACCAAAGAATTGTCTTTATTTGGCCTGTCTGGTAGGACACCCTGGGAGACGCCACTGAAAAGTTTTGTCTGTATTCTCCTGGTTCATAGCTATTCAGTGCTACAGTCTTTTCCTGGGATACAGTTCCTTAAAATATTTACAGCAAGTGTTTTAACATAGTACTTATCTGAGAAAATGTGTATCAGATGCAGCAAGCAATATACTAAACAAAAACTTAATAGAGAAAGCTGAGGAACAAGATTCTCTCAGGAGAATCAAAAGAGCTTTAACATATTCTAAGGACCGTAGAAGATCAGATACATATGTAGAATTGTTTGTGTACGTGCTCAAGACAGACATAATATGAATTCCCTAAGTTTTTAACTATTGCTTATCTTGAAGCTTTATACCAGGTAAATATGAAGGACAATGCAGACATACAATTCCCTTTGCAATACTGGGAGGCTTCTTGCTTTCAAGCATTTAAGGAAATCTCTAATAATTTACAAAAAACTAAGTAATTGAGCAGAAACTCAAGTGACCACAGATCACAAAATTGCAGACTTTACCAAATTAGTTAAGAAATTTCAATAAACAAAGAAAGAATATGATACAAACAACAGCAACAATATGCATGAGGAAGGGGTAGAATCTGATTTGCTACAGATTATTATTTGTGATGCCCTATTTTCTTTTCTTTCTTTTTTTTTTGAGATGGAATTTCACTCTTGGTACCCAGGTGCGATCTTGGCTCACCGCAACCTCTGCCTCCTGGGTTCAGGCAATTCTCCTGCCTCAGCCTCCTGAGTAGCTGGGATTACAGGCATGCGCCACCATGCCCAGCTAATTTTTTGTATTTTTTTTTTTTTTTTTTTTAGTAGAGACGGGGTTTCACCATGTTGACCAGGATGGTCTCGATCTCTTGACCTCGTGATACACCCGCCTCGGCATCCCAAAGTGCTGGGATTACAGGCATGAGCCACCCCGCCCGGCCTGTAATGCCCTATTTTCAACAGCAAAAACAACAAAAATGCAATACATACAAATCAA